TGAGGTATCTATCTTTCCTGGCTCACCAACTGAATTGAAAACACCCTATCACAGTAGTCTTTAATCATCCTCCCAAGAATATGCTAGGCATCTTAAATAGGAGTGAGTAGAAGAGGATCTTTATTCTCTTGTCCCTTTATTCCCTTGTATGAAAAGAGGGGTTTGGGACCAGTTGCTCCAGCAGATGTACTGATGATCCCTGTGTGGCTGCTATTCTGTGGTTTCCTCCCCATAAAGGAAGTAATGATGTGGGTTACTGTCAGCATATATTGAGACAGCCAAAAGAACACTTTTTTGTTCATCAGTTTCATGGAAGAACAAGGTCCAGATTTTTGGGTGACTTTTTTTTTTTTTGCGGGTGGGAATTTGGTATGGGTTGTACTGGAAGGAATGTATAGCTCTGCCTAAAGCCATAAGGTGGGTGGTGGAGGAACACTTCAGTTTAGGGTCCTTTTCGTTTTCACTTTTCCTAGACCTTTTCCTTGTCTTGCCATTTCCCCTTTCCCCTGTCCTCTCCTTTTCTCCCCTCCCTCCTCTTTCCATTCCCTCCATTTCATTTTAGTTAGTAAATTAAATATTTCCATTTTTAGTGAGCAGCTTCTTTGTACCAGGCTTTGGTTAAATTATTATATAATGTTGAACGAGACAGGTTCCGTGTCAGGAGTATATGCCATCGAAATTGGAGAAGAACTTCCAACTTATTGTAAGTCGAATAAGGTGGGAGGAAAACAATTTATAGTTGTAATAAGGCCAGTCTCCTTTTGGGTACTTATTTTTGTTGTTAAACTCATATGATTTCTATGACCCAAGTTGGCACTGAAGTATCAATTTTAAGATTCTCAGCACTTAAATTTTAAGATTTAAGGATCAAATCTCACTCTTAAACTTATTAGCTTGCATGACCTTAGGGAGTTTTTTTAAGCTTCTCTGTGCCTTAGTTTCTTTGTTACTAGACTAAGAATAATAATGAACACTAGACATTGGACTCATTTATTTACTCCCCACAACAGACAAATGACATAGTTGAGGAAATTAAGGCGTATAGTGGTTATCTAACTAATAAATAGTAAAGGTAAGATTTGCACTCAGTCTAACTCCAGAGTCCATATTGTTTGGGCACTATGCTGTCCTAACTTATGATTATTTAGTAAGGTTGTTCTGAGAAATAAATGCGGTAAAGTATGTAGAATGTCTTGTACAGTTTTGGTTCTCAAAGCTTTTTAGGTTTTGGAGTTTGTGAATAAGGTTTTGTGGACCTAGAGATTAATTTAGGGGGAATTATAAATATATAGTTGTCTTAAGTTCTAAACAGTTCTGATAGCTTGTTGGAAGTGAAAGAACCACAGACAATGGATTAGCATCTGCATTTTAAGAGTCTGCATTTAAGATTCTTAAAGTTTAAAAAGTACCGGAGTAGATGATGTTCGAAGGTTTCTTCCAGTGCCCAGTTGGTGGGTCAGTGGTTCTAGGGAATCAGATAGCAAGGATATTTTTAGCATTGATTATTGTATTTAGAGAAGAAAATGGTAATATATCAAGTATTATTTTAATGTAAATCACTGTAATAGAGATTTATTTCTATTTTTTGGCTTCCACGTTAGGTCAACTTTTGAGGTAATTAATACCTGTTTGAATTTGTAGAAAGTTTCTGATGTGGTCCAAAATGATCCTAAATTTTATCATCTTGTATCATCTTAGGAAATAATTAGAACTCAATTTTTATATGGTATAAGATCAATTGTTTTCCTTAATCTCACCAAATAATAACATAATAATATCAGCCAGTTATATACATGTGTGTATATATATGTGGGAACAGTAAGAATAATATAAAACTTCGTAGTTTTGCGCAATTCACTATTCTGGTGTTTCAATGAACAGTTTAAAATTTGAAGTTAACTATTGTAAGAGATTAACTACAAAGCAAATGAACACGTGACTTGTTTGAAAATGTGTAGTTTTATTAGTCTATGTAATATAAAAATTTCAAAATTAAAGAAAGGGTCTTCTTTTTTAGATTTTTTTTTTTAATATAACAGTAATGTCTGTTTTGTTCACGCTAAATCATTAGTACCTGGCACATTGTAGTAGGTATTGACAAATATTTATTGAATGAATAAAAATTTGTGTTTTGATCATTTTGCTGCCATTTTCAAATGAGAGGAGATAAGATTGGGTTTTAGACATTCAAGCATCTCCCCATGTTAACTAACTGCTACATTTAATAATCTTCCCCATATTAACTAATTGTGATTCTTCTTTGAAAATTTTTTTAATTGTGAGAGGTATGATTCAATCAGAAGAAGAAATATTACATTTCTTATGCTCTCTTTATCTATAGCGGTAGCTGCTTGGTTCATTTTTAAAACCTCTTAATATATCTAAACAGTAAGTTGTTTAGCTTTGAAAAACTGGCTAGCAAGCATAAATCTAACTTTGTAAAGAAAGAATAATATTGCAAATATTAGGTCAGACCTCATTCAAGAAAGTAGTTTGAATAAAATATCTGGGTCATAGTCTGGTTTCAGCTTTCCTGAGAGTTTATGAGAACTCTTTGCAGGGAAGTCAGTGGATAAGGTTTTGAGTGAATCTTGAGAAATAGCATCTGTTTTACATAGTTGGGTATCTGGCAGTACTGTAATGTGGATCCAGGTACTGGGGTGTTCAGCAGAAGTATTGTCAGAGGGATTAGACTGCTCTGTACTTTATTCTAAATCTCCCTGGCTTACTTTCAGCTCTTAGGAGTCAGAGACCACTTGTGTAGGTGAAATAGTATCCCCAGCTGATTCAGGGAGGAAATCATGAGGGCAAAGCAGAAACTTCATCAGCAGGGCTTTCTGTCCTCTGGTTAAAAAGTGGCCAGGAGGGGCGCCTGGGTGGCTCAGATGGTTAAGCATCTGCCTTCGGCTCAGGTCATGATCCCAGCGTCCTGGGATCAAGCCCCACATCAGGCTCCTGGCTCAGTGGGAAGCCTGCTTCTCCCTCTCCCTCTGCCTCTCCCCCCTCATGCTTTCTCTCTCTCTCTGTATCTCTGTGTCTCAAATGAGTAAATAGAATCTTTAAAAAAAAAAAAAAAGTGGCCAGGATGGGGGCGCCTGGGTGGCTCAGTCCGTTGAGCGGCTGCATTCAGCTCAAGTCATGATCCCGGGGTCCTGGGATGGAGCCTCACATTGGGCTTCCTGCTTGGCGGGGAGCCTGCTTCTTCCTCTCCCTTGGCTGCTCCCCCTGCTTGTGCTCTTTCTTTCTCTCTCTGTCAAATAAATAAATAAAATCTTAAAAAAAAAAAAAAAATGGCCGGGATGAGGAAAAAGGATAGTAAAATTACAAATGAATAAGAATTGCACCAGCCTTATATAAAAGAAGAAATTTAAAAAAACTTCCCCAGAGTGACATAAAAGAGAATATGAACAAATGGAAAAATATTACTTGGGCTAGGAAGACACGTTATTATAAATTCTCCTTAAATAAATTCTAAGATTTCTGTTCATATGTCATCTGGTTGAGAGCTTCTTATATAGTCATATATATATAACTTACATAGCAACCAAATGTAGTTACTTTATTTTTCTTCATAGCACTTATGCCCATCTGATATAACTATAAATTTATTTATTATTATTTTTTTCCCCTTCTGGAATGCAAACTTAACAGAAGTCTGTAAATTTATCCGAGTGTGCTTGTCTTTGTCTCCTTACTAGCATGTAGCCTTGTGAGGGTATGTTTTATTCATTGTGGTTTCCCCAGCACCTTGTGCTTATAGCACATAGAAAGCAGTCAATGACTGGCGAATGAGTGAATAAATAAAACTGTCCTTTCTCTCGTAATCCATAGAACTTATTGTCTATTCCATAGTTTTCTGGTCATTAATTTTGTTCACTTTAGCATCTTATAATGCTTTTTATTATTTTCTTTTGGTTCAGTGTCTAATTGTTTCACTCCTGTAAGACATTCTTCTCTGTGCTCCTTGATGGCAGGAATGGGACAAATGCTTCCTTTGTGGACCTCACAGTACAAGGCAAATGGATGTAGGAACTTGTTGAATTGAATACGTTTATTTATTCATAATTACTTAAATTGCTAAAATCCAGTTTGCCTTCAATAAAAGGAGTATTTTAAATGTATAATACAGTATAATTCTAAACAAAATAGGGGTTTTTGTTTATTTTTAAGGACTGAGAATTTTTGGAGATGTTTTTTGAGCTCATGGTATATGTTGGTAATTGAAATTTGGAAGTTGTGCAATTATAATTTTACAAATTTCTGGACACAATTTGAGTAAAAAACAATTTTCGGTGAGATGTGGATTTCTTACTTTGAAATTTTAATTTTTTAAAAATGTCTTGTTATGCTGTAGTTTTGTTGGAACTTGGTTTTAAAATGAAATATTCTAGGGGCGCCTGGGTGGCTCAGTTGGTTAAGCGACGGCCTTCGGCTCAGGTCATGATCCTGGAGTCCCTGGATCGAGTCCTGCATTGGGCTCCCTGCTCGGCAGGGAGCCTGCTTCTCCCTCTGACCCTCCCCCCTCTCATGTGCTCTCTCTCTCTCTCATTCTCTCTGTCTCAAATAAATAAATAAAATTTTAAAAAAAAAAAAAAAGAAATATTCTAAACAAGTACAACTTTGTAGTCTACCTAACTTTTTATATATAAATGTTTTCATAAATACTTTTTTTTTTTTACCATTTCTCATGCCAGCATATCATTCAACAATTTGTGTAATGATTGCTTGCTGTGCATTTACATTGTCACTACATTTTAAAAAAATCATTGCTGATGTACTTAAATACCTTTCTGCATATAGATTTTGTATATTATTTCTTGGAGATAAAGCTCTAAGAATGTAGTTAACATTTTCAAAAGTAAATACGTAACAATTACTGAAATAGTAACTGTATATGTTTAAAAGGAGAAATGTAAAACTATGTAAAAGTTTTGTTGGTTCTTTTCTAATTCTTATGGACATTTATTTATTAAACATTTTTTTTCTTTGCTTTATTTCAGACCAGTCTATCCATATGGGGATGGGGAAGCCTTGGCATTGTCCTTTCTCTAATAACCTTTGGACCCTTTGTAATATTTTATTTGGCCTTTTATATCCTCTGCTTTGTGGGTGGGTAAGTATTCTCAATGATAATCTTACAATTCAAATGTCTTACACTTGTTAGAAATTGAAACAAATCACCATGAAACCTCAATAAGAAGAAAAAAAATGACCATGAGAAATGGTAGTATGATTTGTGAATGCTATTTTTGCAAATTATTTTTTTACCAAAGTTAAATAAAGTAAAATTAAGATATGCAATATAATAAAAGTGGTGGCGTTAGTTATTTGTACCAGAAATATGGATAGTCATCTTCAAAAAATTTTTTGATGATATAAAACTTTTTTGTATAATTTGAAAAGTTTTAAAGATTTTTTATTCCTTTTGGTGTTGTTATTATGTTTTAAGGTGGAAAATTTTTTTATCTATTACAATATTAACAAGATAAGTAAGTTAAATTGAGATGACTCATCAAGTTTTACATAGTATAGAAGATACTGTTTCATTGATTAGACTTCATACAATAATATTAATTATTTCCCTTAGTGAATGCTGTCATTTTGTTACAGAAAATTCAAACATCTGATTTTGCTATTTTCTCTTCATTGTTTATTTGATTATGCTTTACATTGAGTTGATAAACGTTCGCAAGAGAGGTTTCGGTCATGATTTAGTATAGCTTCCTATGTGGAGCATTTGGTTCAGATGTGAATTGTATCTAAGAAAAGTACAGAAAAGAGAGGTGGATGCTTGTTACTTAGATACTCAAACCAAGGTAGCTTAACTGAGCGAGTATTTTGTTGTTACTATATATATTTATATATATGCTTGTGTGTATGTATGTATGTATATATAAGATACGTTTATGTAAGTATTTGTGGTATGAATACCTTTGAGTTCTTTTTAAAAACTCTTTTGAGGCTCCAAATATTTGGAGGAGTTATTGGAATCTATAGGTTTAGAGAACTTAGATGAATTGAATAGGATACATAAACTGCATCCTGAAAGACTATATGAGACACTCAAGGAGTGATTTCTGATTGTACTTACCACCTCCCACCTCTTTCACGATAGGGTTTGAAAGTTCTGTGTGGCCTTTTCAGAGGGAGTACACCCACTGTTTGTGAAACAAGTGAGAATCAAATCAAGCAGCTACCTCAAGGACTATCCCTAAAACTGCATTTATTTTAGATTTAACAGTTTCATTATAATTGCTTAGATATGGTACTGGATACTGAAACAATGAGAAATAAGCTATCAGGACCAGATAAATGGAATTTTGAATATCTTTATTGACTAAGATTATTGAAGACTGTAGGTCTGCAGCTCCCTGGGCTTCCTAAATTACACTTCTTTGTCACAAATGAAGACCAGAGCAGAATGGTTGCATAGCTGTACGGTTGCACCTCTTCCCCACAGAGTCATGGCTGCTTTTACTGATTGGAAAGGAGGCTGTTTTGAGGAGATGTTTCTCTGGAAAGGAGAGATTTCTTCTCTTTCATGAATTGAATAAACCCTTGGCAAAAGTGAAAGAGAATGATTTCAGACTATTTCCCAGTATTTCAGAAAGGGAGAAAATTGTAGCTTTCTTTGTCAGTAGGAGCCCTAGGAACCCTTGGAAGTTGGAGGGGTGGAGAATTATTTCTCATACTAAAGTGCTCCATATAAAGTTTTGGAAGAGGGGAAGGGTGAGGAGTCCATGCATTTCGAAGTCTTGGTAACCTTTCTTATTTCCTTTTTGAGTCTGCAGATTTATCAGGAGTAATCAAAATTGATTTTAGATACTTCTAAAGTTCTGTAAAAATGTTTAGATAAGATGGGATATTAGATGGCATGCTAGGATCACTAAAAACTTTTTAGATATTATTAAGAGTCACATGGTAAGGTCTGAAACTCCAACTTCATGCTATATCATAAATGTTCTGGTCTGATGTTCTGTTCAAGATTGTTAATCTCAGTGAAATTCACTGCCGTAGTAAGGGGACTTCCAACTTAAGTACTAGAAAGCCTCCCAGAATTCTCTCAGGGGATTAATTAAGCATTTCTAGATTACTCAGTTATGGTCAATGACTACCATAGTTCTGAATCAAGTCTTCCCTATTTTGGCTATAATTAGAAAGGAATGATTGTTTTTTCTTTGATGTAACTTAGTATAGTTTAATGCCTTATGAATTGGAAGAGCAGATACAGGCTTTTAAATATCAATCTCAAGTAAAATAATTACATTTCATATAATCATTTCTTGGTTTTAGTGTGTTTTTTTATTGTCTAAGTTTTTAAGATACTTTTTTTTCCTTATATAAAATGCAAGTTTGAGAGCAATTAATACATTCCTAGGGAAACCACCTTTGTTTAAAATTCTGCAGTTAACCATCTACAGTGTTGATAATGTATATGTTTTGCTGATAGTCAAAGCTAATTCCATATTTTCTATAATAAAGATAACTTTTGGAAGGAAAATCACTTAGAGTTTTTTGTATTATGTGTTTTTTTTGGGGGGATACTATTGATACTGTGTTATGGGTTATTTAATGGAATTCTGTTAGGTTGCATGATGCAGTCATTTGTAGCACCTGTTTTTACTTAAACCTCAAGGCTGAAACCGGTGCTTTGTAAGATTAGACTGTTCCTTAGTTTACTTTCCTATCATTCTTTGGACAAAGGTTAGTGTTTTATCAGCCTGTCTCATGATAATCATTTTAGAAATACATAGTTAATATAAGCATTTAATTATGTCTAAATCTGCTTATTGCTAGATATAACTGAAATATGGGGCCAACTTGATTCTTAGTAATAATATCAGATGCAAGACAGATTAAATTTATTGTTCCAAGGCTAGCTTTTTTAGAAAGAAACAAAAACAGAATTGATAACATGGGCTGATTTGATTTTGTTTTCTCAACTCATCTTTCAGCTTTTGTAGTGCTTGTACTAAAGAGCAGCAGAGAGCCACAAAAAGCAGAGGACTTTGAGAACCTTCCTTTTAGTAGTTGAGGCTGATCCATATTTAATTTTTCATAGTTCCCTTCTTGTCACAACAGCGGTTGAATTGTTGTAAGATTACTATAAGATTATTATAAAGTTAGAATTTGATGTTTTTCTGTTATGGATTTCCTGTCTACTTAGTGGTGCTTAGATTTAACTGGTAAATTTTAAATATAGGAAATATTGATAGCATTTAGTCAATACTTAGAGTAAAACAGTTTTAAGCCAGTTTTTATCTTACCTTAACTCTATAATTGTTTTAAAAATATAATTAGCCTTTGGAATGTATTTATATGTATTTTTAAATTCCGGTCTGATTATAAACTATATCTTTTTTTTCTTCTTTGGACTTTAATTGCTTATTCTGTTTCCATAATGGCAAGTTACGTTACTATTTCACATTAATTAGTTAATAGAACTATAGAAATGTGTGATTTTAGCTATAGATTTAGATCTCATTTGTCTTCATCCTTGGTTACCTAGCCTACTTATTTAGCAAGGGCTGATTTTCCAAAAGTTTGAACTTGTTGCCTGGGATTCTTTATGAAACATTTATATGAAAACTTTGAAAGGCATTCTTGTAGAAGATCACAGAATGTTTATAGTTGTTTTAAACTTCAGAACATAACAGTCAATTACTTGCCTTGCTGAAGTCAAAAGCTGATTTTTTAGTGAGTGATAAACCATCTATTAAATCTGAAAAATATCTGGTTAATAGATGTGTTAAGTTATAAAACAATTTTGTTTTTGTTTGTATAATTGAATTTTTTCTGCCCCAGGGGTTTTGTGGTTACTCTCCTGTTTGGAAAAACAAACTCAGAGAAGTACCTAGAGCAGTGTGAACACTCATTTCTTCCTCCAACGTCAACTGGGATTCCTAAGGTAAATAGGGTAAAGGAATGTAAAACCTCAAAGTCTTGTTCTATGAAATGATGGTAATGTGATCATCTGTATATGGCTTGGCAGATGTTCCTATAATCCACTGATGCTCAGTATAAACTTATGGGACACTTTCTGATCATGCTTAGAAAATACATTTTAAAAGATTATTTTGAAAACTTTTATAGTGTTAGATGTTAAGAGTGGGAATGCAAATTTTAGGAAAAGATAGAAATTTGGGGCCTCTTCCTACTATCTTAACACAGGATTTCAAAATTTGAAATGAAATGAATTGCATAGAAACCAGAGAAAAGAAAATGGGTATTCTTTTTTAACTGACTTGAAAAATACAGCTTACTATTAGGCTATGCAGTATCTATAGTTTTAATAATTTAGGCCCAGTTATATCATCTTGAATGTTGGCATTTTTTCCATTTTTTGATACCATATTCTATAAGTAAAATTGGAATTTGGTACTATAAGTAGGCTTTAGATTTGCATTGTCTTCAGTTCTTGTGGTATTGGGATGGTTTGTTTCATCTTGTATGAAAAGAGACAAAATGATCTGGAGTTAATGCCAGTATCTTACCTTTACAGTTACTAACTTGTCCATTATGTGCTAAGATGTAGGAGATGCAGAGATAGTTATATACAGTATTACTTTATATTACTGAAATAAAAGAATTCACCCTATCCTTGGATGTTGCATGTTATAATTTGAAGTGTGTGTTTTATATATATATTTGTACTTTGTTTTTGTTTTTTGTTTGTATTTTTAACTGAAGAGTGTCCCACTACTTTTCACTTTATTTCCAGGCCACTGGTCTTACTGAACACTACAGAGAAATAGAGAAATTCATTTTCTTTTGTTGCTAAAAATCAAATAAAAAATTTTATTTGGCACCTGCTATACTGTTTTGGTCTGGGAGGGGGAAGGGAGAAGAGGAGCAGAGTTTAATAAAGACAATCATTAACTTGATTCACCTGAAACACTAACTTATGGTTTTAAAGTTTCATTGAAATACAACAACAGTATATCTTACATTTTCAGTTTTCTCACATTCTAAATAATATTTGCCAATTTTACTAAACTTTTGAGGATAACAATAGATTTTTTTCCCTGGGTGTCTAGCTGTGTTAACTTGAGAAATAGTCTTTGGTTTGTATCAGAGCATTGAGAAATAAGATTACTGACTGACTTGAAATGACAGGGAAGTTGCAAGTTAGAGGTAAACTATACAGATTTTAAATCAAGAAACTATGCAGTAAAATGTTGTGATTTCCCTTAAGTGCTTAGAAGAAATGAAACGAGAAGCCAGGACTATAAAGATTGATAGAAGATTGACAGGTGCCAATATAATTGATGAGCCTCTCCAGCAAGTGAGTTTTCATATGTGGTATTTGAATTCCTTATATTGTGTTGTAAGGTATATTTCTTTTGAAAATACAAGGAAATGAAAAAAACAAAAAAGAAAGAAAATACCAGGAAATAATTTTTGCTATTTATGTAAGATGCTGGAAATTCACTGTAATGCTGTTCTTGGATTCTGTACTTAAAGATACTGCCTTATTTGTGAAATCATTTATAATGAAGTGGTTTATGTAGTATTAAAGCCTTTTGTTTGAATTTGCATTTAATAAAGTTTTTGCTGACCTATTTGATAATGTTTCTAATTATTTTAAAGTTAAAATGCTCTTTAGCTGATGAATAAGCTTAGTGTTTTGGCAAATCAGACAATTTGTATTATAGTTTTTTAGATGGATATACCCGATTTGATTCAGAAATCTTAAAAAAATTAAAAATTATTCTCCCTCCAGATAGTTTTCATTGATATTTGATTATATGATTATTATAATGTGTTCTTTAAAATTCTAACATTTCTTTTATAGTTAAACCCATATTTAGTTTATCTGATTTTCAAAAATAATATACATCAAGTTGTATTATTTGATGTATTGACTGATTTAATACTGTTGGCAGTATCAAAGTTATTCGATTTAAGTGAACTCCTGTGTTTTTTTTTTTTGTAATTTGATTGCAACAGATCTGATGATATAATCTTGGAAAAGTGGTTTCTTTTTGAGAATTAGGGTCAGTTGGCATTATTTTGCACCTCATTCCATCAAGCTAATTAAAACTCTTCATTATATTATAGCATTGAAAATTTATTTTTTTTGCAAGCTCTATCTTACCTCAATATGGGTAGGGGTTGACCATAGGTAACTCTAATTTTTAAAAAATTTGGGCAGTGGGTGAATTGGGACACCAAAATAATTTAAAATTTTTTGAAATGGTTTTTTAGCATATCGGTCCTTTTGTAATGAAGGCAGGTTTTTTTTTTTTTGTTAATCACAATTTAGTATGTAGAGAGTAAATATAAATTGGTAAATAATCCTTTCAGGTTTTAGTTTGCTGCTGATACTTTTTAAATCCTAAAAAGCTGTGTTTTTTCCCAATATTTTTGTTTTAGGTTATCCAGTTTTCCTTGAGGGATTATGTCCAGTATTGGTATTATACACTAAGTGATGATGAATCTTTTCTTCTTGAAATTAGGCAGACTCTTCAAAATGCACTCATTCAGTTTGCCACTAGGTAAGGTCACTGATGCAGAAAAATTTAAATATGTTGTTTATACCAGTATGGAAAATGACTTTTAAATGGGAGAGGGAAATTATTAATTATTATTATTAAAAGGTAAGTGAAACAGTAGATGATTGTGAGATAACTCTCAAATTATAGAACTAGAGCTCTAAAAACCTGTACTTCTTTAAATTTAACCTTTACATTTACAGAACGTTTATCTTGATTAAACCCTGTTATCTCAGTCTGAATGTCAGTTTCTTCCTCAGGGTCCAGTCATGTGACTTTTACCTCACTCACTGAGAATACTTTTTTTCACCTCTTACCCAGATACTCTGTTTTATTTGAGTGCCATGGAAATAGTTTCAGTAAAACTACTCTTCTGACATATACCTTATAGAAGTCCTCTCAGTGGGAGAGGAAACCAAAGGAGCATAAATCGGTGGAGAATATTCAGTTTATATATTTTCAGAAGTATATTTTGATGAGTTTGCTTTAAGAAATTTTTGTGAGATATACTAAAATTCTTACTTTACAAAACCCACTTATATACTGCCTCCTCTATGACACAATATTTTGGTCTATATCATTGTATTTAAACTACTTGATTTTTGGGGGTAGCCATTTTATATACAGAAATGACTTATTTTTGAAAGAAAGGATTTTATGTTTAGATGAGTTTGAAATTTTTTTTGATTAAAAAATCACTACACACAAAGATTTTCCTACTAGCCTATAGCCTAAGGCAGGAAGCTGCATGCCATGGCCATGAGAACACCTTTAAATCAGAAGGTGCTATTTTTCAGCCAACCCCCTGTTCTTCCCTACTTAGGTTCTTAAAATACAATCTTGTACTTTTGAGAATCTTGGAGAATAGAGCTTTGCCCTGGGGCTTTTACTGCATTTTTATCTCTGTGCACATAGATGTTTCCAGCTGAGGCTACCCTGTCAGGACTTTTCATCTGTAACTCAGGTAATCCTAAGCTTTAGAGTAGGAGGTTAGTTCCTCAACCTCAGGTCATTGGGGAAGCCTGCAGTAATGTTTATGGTTTGAATAACAATCTTACTTGTAGAGATAAATTTGAGTTCCTTCTTCCTTAGTATTAACAGCAGACATTTGCAGAGTAGCCAGCCTTAATTACAAGTGTAGAGTTGCTTTGGAACACAGAAAATAAAGTATAATTAAAGTTCAGAAATAGGATTTTATCTCCTTTATTTCATATATATAACGTTATTGAGTATTAGATATTCATTTTTTCAGGCAACTCTTCTGAGTCAGTCATTTGCTACTTTCTATAGTAACATCATCCTAATGACTTTTTTTTTTTGCCCTTTGGAAAGGTGGGAATAGGAGTTCATTATAGATGTGTCTGACTTCCTAAGTATATATTGAAACATAACAAATTTTAGACCTGGAAAGAACTTTGAACTAGGAATTGGGAGACTTCAGTTTGCATTCTGCTCTACTACTTAGCTCTGGAACTATGAGCACGTATTTTAAACTTTTTGAATCTTGGTTTTTCTTATACGTGATATAAGCATAGTAATATCTGCCCTGTTCTGTGTTCCTCACAGGGTTATTGTTGGCATCAAATTCATCTGTCCATTCAACTAATATCTTGTGATTCCTTTGTACCAACCAGGTGCTGCAGATACTGCAGTGAATAAAACAAAATCCCTGATCAGTGGAATGTAATGAAAATAATAATTTTGAAAATTGTGAAGGAATTTAGAAATTTAAGTTTTTAATGCCCTTTGACATTTATAATTTCACAACAGATGAGGAAGCTAAGGTCCAGAAGGACTAAATGGTTAGTCCAAGATTATCCAGTGAGTTGGGGCAGAGTAAGAATTAGAATCAGATTGTTCTTAGCAGTCTAGTGTTCTTCCTCCATTCCCTACCAGAAGATATATTATGATCTAGATTTTTCATCTTAGTTTCCCCCACTTTTTTTTTTTTTAACCTTTCATTGCAATGCTTTCCCTGTTTTTGATTCCCCCAAACCACTTTTTCTTTACACTTCATGTAATAAATTGTTCTGTTTTTGGTTTTCCTCCCCTTTGGTAACATTGTATGCTATCAAGCTGAATATTTAGATGATTGCAGGAAAAGTCAGGTTTCTTCCATCCTAGACTGATCTGAATTTATATCTTTGCTTTCTCATTGGCCTTAAGATTTTGGACAAATTAATCAGCTTCTTTTGAACCGTAGCTTATTCATTCATAAAGTTGATAATAACGAAGTTACTTCTGAGGCTGTTTTCAGGCTAAAAATGGTATGAAGTAAAAGCCTCTGGCATTTAGTAAGGCTCAGTAATTGATAGTGCCATCTCTGTGAATGACTTTATTTTTGTTCTATGTTGGTTTTTTTCTATTACTACTAAAAGGTATGTCTTATAGAGTCTCCCTGACTGTTTTCAATGCTAGTATAAAGAAAATTAGGTCTGTTTACAATCATTTGAGTCCTACTTCAGTCCTTGTTCTGTGCTGTCTGTTGTGTATTCTGGAGCAGACAACAGGAGCGCTACATTATTGCCTCTTTCAAGTCACAGTCTTGTATAGGGGCCCATGAAGTCCTGAAAATGTACACAGAACTGTTTTTTTCCCTTTTGAGTGGTTATAGATTTCATTTTTAAAAGGGCCTATGAATCCAGAAAAGATTTAGAACCACTCAGTTCTAGTGTTCATATTTATGCATTACCCTGAGGAAACAATTACAGAGTATCAGCATAAAATGAAATGCTAATTTTGAGACATAACAGGAAGAAAAAGATACTTAGAGTCTGAAGTCCTGATTTTCAGCTTTAGTGCTATTATTTATTAAGCTCTATGGTCTTGAATGGGCAAAACACATAAATTCTTGGAGTCTGATGATAACCCGTATCTACTTATTAGGTTGTTAGGGTTAAATGCCCTCTCTCAATGCATCACATGTGAGAGAGTACTTTGTAATGATAACACCTTGTGTTAACATTAGTACCTGTTACTCTAGTAGCAATTTGGGGATGGAAACCTTCATAGAGCACTCTTGACTTCTCTGTGGTAGAACCTGGGTGTGAACTAGGTTGGAGCTTTAGGGGTTGAATCTGAGATAACCTATGTATTTTTATTTCTCTTCAAATAAGATATTATGTATAAGACTGAGAGTCCTGGGAGATTTGTATTATAATTCTACCTGTACCATTGAGTTACAGTGTACTTAAAATTTCTTAACATATGTCTAAAATAATAATAGTAATACTTGTAGCAAACTTAGAATTGTGAGGGGCAAATGAGATGATGTCCAAAAAGCATTTCCTGAAGTATTTGTCAACCAACAAGTGGTATTTTGAGCAAGTTACTTGACTTTCTGTGTCTCAGTCTCTGCATCAGTAAAATGGGATAATTACCTCATGGGGTTGTTGTAATGTTTATCTAGAGGAGTAGTGCATGTCACACACCACAGGGTCTAGTACATAGTAAATGTTCAGCGAGTGTTAACTTGGCTGTTACTGTTAATTTTTGTTATATATTACCTTCCTAGGATATATATATACAGATTCTTTGACCTTGTCTTAGTTTGTTCTGTTTTGGGGGGGAAGGAGCAGGTGGAGACAATATTAAAGCACATAAAATGGAGAGAAATAAAGTAGTCATTTGTGTGGTACTGAGAGCAATTTTTATCTAGAGGTAGAATGGACCAGAGTAACTAATGAAGACCTCATGTGGATTAAGGTTAAAACTGGGCTTCAAGAATGAAGGGGGGGAAATCGGAGGGGGAGATGAACCACTTCAGAACCATCGGAGGGGTGTGGGGGGATGTGTTAGCCTGGTGTTGGGTATTAAAGAGGGCACGTACTGCATGGAGCACTGGGTGTTATGCACAAACAATGAATCATGGAACACTACATCAAAAACTAATGATATAATGTATGGTGATTAACATAACATAATTAAATAAAAAAATAAAATAAAACCGGTCTTCAAGAATGAATAGTGGGATAGACAGAGGGATGAAGGACATGTTAGGAAAGAGCAAAGTTCTGAGAAGGGGAATAAGATTAGTGTGGTTGAAGCAATAAGGAGATACAAGTGATCAAGGAACCTTGTTGCTTTCAAAAGTGTGAAATGTGGCAACTATGTTCATCCCTGTTCCGGTTAACCCCAAGATTAGCAGAAGGGAGATATATTCTAATGCCCCTGGGTTCTTCCTAAAGGGTTTTCCCATGGCAGGAGGAGGTATGGCTAGATAGGTTCCAAGATTCAGTGGTTGTAATACTAATGATAGCACTGTTTCTGGAACGATGGGGGATATGTTCTGAAAGTTTAACCATTTTTCTCACTAACCATTTTGCTATAGAAGTAATAGATCATGTGTTCCTAGACTTGTCCAAAAGGCAGGCACATCAAATAATGGACATTTGCAACAGTAAAGTTGTATATACTCTTTTGCTATTTTACATTCTTTGCCATTTGAAAACTTAGCTTAAAACTGACTTTAACTAGAAAGATGATTATTGTCATATTTACTACAATATAGCAAAAACAATTAGGAACCATTAAGTATTTAAAAGAAGGGGCAATAAGTTAATGTTTTTGCATATGTAGAATAGACCAGGAGTTGTTAATTGTATAGTTATATAATTCACATACCATACAGTTTACCCACTTAAAGTCTCAGTGGCTTTTAATATATTTATAGAGTTGTGCCCCTTCATTACAATCAATTTAAGAACATTTTAAGGATTCCATGAGAAACCTAGTATCCACTTTTCATTCACTCCCTACATTCCCCCCAAAGTTTCTAGCTCTAGGCAACCACTTATCTACTTTCTGTGGTTTTGCTAATTCTGGACATTTTATATGAAGGAAATAATACATTATGTGTTCTTTTGTAACTGACTTCTTTTACTCAGTGTGATGTTTTCAGGGTTTATCCATGTTGTAGCAAGTGTTATTACTTATTCTTTCTTACTGCTGAATAATATTTCATCATATGGGCATAAACCACATTTTGTTTATCCATCAGTTGG